TGAGATGAGACAGCGGCACACTCTGATGGAGAGAGGAGAGCTATGATGGGATGCCACAGCTCAGTTCTGAGGACGGTGAATTCTGACATGGTGATTCAATACGGTGACGCCACCATGGAGCACTGGATCATCACACTCTACATTTGATATCATAATCGTAGTGTGATGTCATAATTGAACATCTCAGTGTTACAGAAGGATACTGATGACACGGTGGAGCGTTCTGGTGTCGCAATGAGGCATGGCACAATGGAGAATTTGATGCAGCATTCACATTGTGATAGAAGAACACTGCAGCAGATGGCTCCCCTGGTGGCAGGGTGATATGTGTCTCACTGCCTTACCCCCGCATGAGATCAGCCCCAGAGAAGAAGGAAACGGGGAGAGGAAAGAAGTCTCTTAAATATTTATTGCTGTGACAAAAATACTCAAGAAAACCAACTTAAGAAAGAAAAATGTATTTCAGGTTTCAACCCTTAATTGGTAGGATTCATGCCTTAGGTGGGAGGTGAAGCAAAATACTGTAGCGATGGGCGCTGTAGTGGGTTATTACCTTATGATGATAAAGAAGCATCAGAAAGAGAAGGGAAAGGAGGGGACGAGGAGGGGAGGGGAGAGGAAGAGGTAAGGAGAACAGAAGAGGTGGGAAGGAAGAACAGAGGGGGAATGCCCTTCAAGACCACATTCTCCATGGCCTACTTTTTCCTAGACCCTTCCACCTCCCAATAAACTATCAAATTATGAATCCATCAATGGCTTTACCCACTAAGACAGAGCCGTCGTGATCTGGTCACTTACCTAAAGCCTCATATCTGAACACTGCATTGGAAACCAAGTCCTAGATGCACGGGTCTTTCTGGAACACACCTCAGTCAGTCATAACACTAAAACAGACTGAGCACTAAAGGAGACTGAGTTTTGGGGGCTGGTGAGATGGCTCAGCTGTTAGTACTGACTGCTCTTCCAGAGAACCCAGGTTCCCAGTATCTACATGGCAGCTTACAGCCATCTGTAATTTCAGTTCCAGGGTTCAAATGCCCTTGTAGGATTCGGGGTTCTCTAAAGGGACAGAACTGATAGAATGAACACATGCGCATGCGCGCGCGCACACACACACACATGTGCACACACACGCATATGTGTGTATGATTTATTAGAAGGGTATTTATTAGAAGGATACTTCCCCTCTCTGTTCATATATATGATGTATTCGATATCTGTGGCCTGAGCAGTTGGACAGTGGGTGTCTCCAAACAGAAAGCCCAAGAGCGTGGAAGTTGTTCAGTGCACAGGACTAGATGTCTCAGCAGTCCCAACCTAGTGCTGGGTTCCCAGGAAGTCCTAGAGAGCTGCTGGTCTTCAGTCTGTTGGAATCCCAAGGAAGAAGGTTCTAACACCAGAGTAGGACTGTCTCATTTACAGGGTAGATGAACTTTCCAGCAGGAGTGAAGGAGAGCAAATTAGTTTCTGTCTTAGTTACTTTTCTACTGCTTGTTAAAGCGCCATGACCAAAGCAATTTTAAAAAGGAAGGATTTAATTTGGCTTGTGGTGATGAGAAGAGCCAAGAGTTCACATCTTAATCCACAACTCACAAGGAAGAGTGAGCGAGCACAAGGGATCACGGATCTTTTGAAACTTGAAAAGTCTGTCCCCAGTGACACACCTCCTCCAACAAGGCCACATCCCTAATCCTTTCCCATAGTTCCACTAACTGGTACCATGTATTCAACGTGGGCTATTCTCATACATGTAACCAAAGCCCGCTTCTGGCCTCCCTGACTATAGCAGACATGCACATGGCCCACAGAATTATGAAGACAAAACTTCCATATACATATTATAAAATAATTTTTTAAAAAGGAAATAAACCATGCTTTCTTTCTCCAAGGCCATTCTGTCCCCGTGATTAGAAGTGGAAGCTTTGCGACGACCTTTCACGTAAACTGTGCTGCACACTGGAAACCTATGTGGGGGGACTTTAAACAGTGTGACTGTGTGGGTCCGACCTGGAGATTCTAATATGCTCCATCAAAATTATCTAAAGCTCCTCAGCTGATTGCAGTGTGATGGGTGGGCAGCAGGCTTGCTCCTCGACATGAAAGGGCAGCCCCATGCTAGCAAATGCCTGGCCAAACCATTCGCCGACTGCAGCCAATTTTCCCTGATGTGCCCTAATAGGAGGAAGCTGTGGCATGGATAATAGCAACCAACAAACAATTTAAAACTAATTTCTACTTGGTTTGGGAATGCAGCATGTGACTTCCTGGCTGCCGACGGCTGGATAATTCAGTTTGGCTCAGATGAATAGGTCTTTCCTGAGCTAACAACACAGCCCAGCCTTGTACTGAGGTGTGTGTGGAAGGAAGCCTGCCAAGGGAAATGTTGCCTGTGGTTGGCTCCCCAGAATGCCAGACACACAGTCACTGTGTGGCTGTGGGGACTCGGCTTACCAAAGGGTTCCTCGATGGGCCAAAGCTAGACTTCTGCTGACCCCTCACTTTGTGGGTTGGGGCCCAACAAAGGAGAAGAGGTGGGGGGAGGAGTGTGCACCTCCAGTGGCTGCTGAGTGTTTCCATGAACAGTATATATGTCACACAACTCTAAGTTATGTTTCCTACACCCCTCACGGGAGAAGAGGAAGCTGAGGGTCTGAAAGGCTGGACAACTACCAAAACAAAGCCGGCATGGACTCATCATACTCAAAACCTTTCCCCCCTGAGAGACCCATCTAAAGTGAACTGCTGCAGAGAGGTTTGGGTCATACATATCCTTGGATCTGTCTCACAGAAGGAACTCTGCCTTCCCAGGTTTTCATTTCAGTCTAAAGGCAGTGGCAAGGAGACCTTCAGAACACACTTGAGGCGACTGAGGGACTCTCCTTCCAACTGTGGAGGCACGCCTGAGGCAAGAGCCCCAAATGCCAATCTCAAATATGCCACATCTTCCAGGTTTGTGCTATCCCCCACCAATGAGTCTAGCAAGGGCAGCAAGGTGGCCCTCTCTGGAAGAAGTTTTGTCCCATTTTCTTTGGTTTTCTGAAGCATTGATATCTCCCCTCTCCCTTTCCGCTGGGGTCTGATCTACACCCTCCTCTGGTGGCTCAACCAGCCTTTCCAAAAGTTCCCATGTGTTATCACTGGTCTTTCAAGAGGCCCTGGGATGACAGTCCTTGCCTCCACCTATGTGGGAAAGAGAGGTCATACTACCACCCTGGCTGACTCACCAAGGGAAAGCTGGGCCACCGTTTTTTAAAGGTTCAGACCACAAAAATACAAACAAAAAAACCCCAGCTATTTCAATGGTTGCCTTTATCACTGGCCTCAATGCCTGGAAGGAAGGCAGTTCAAGTAACAACTGATTAGCACTTCATAAACAATAGCCAAATTTAAAAGTTATTGTAATTATCTAACCTAGAAATGGTAGGTATTTATTTCTGGGGTCATTATATACCTTCGGGGGAGACATCTGACAGTCATCAGCTTTCCAGTGCTGAGACAAAACACCTGAGAAAATCAACGGAAGGCAGGCCATTTTTATTTTGGCTTATGGTTTCTGAGGGCTCAGTCTGTATTAGTGGGCCCCACTGATTTGGGGCTTATTGTTTCTGAGGGCTCAGTCTATATTAGTGGGCCCCACTGATTTGGGGCCTGTGGCAAGGTAGGACATCATGTTAGAGCTAAATTCAGGGCTTTGTGTGTTCTAGAGAATGTCTCCAGACCTGGCTTTCTGAGACTGTCTCTCCACATGTAGTTCAGGCTCGCCTTGAGTGCTCAATGTAACCCAGGCTGATAAGAGGAATTTTTCAGCTCCCTTATAATCTTAAGGTACTGCTATCTGTCAATAAGCAAAACACCCTTAAACAGCACAGAACTATATATCATGGATAATTCTGCTGGTCTCAGTGCAGTGTGAACACATAAGGTAGCTAATCTACAGTGGTTTGTTTGGAGGTGGTGTGACTTCTCTGCTTCAATAAGTTCTTTCCAAGAGAAACATTCAACTCACCAACTACAGGACAAGCTCCACTACACCTGAGACTAGAACCAAGTAATCAACAGTAAAATACAAACTAGACCGCGCCTACACACAACTTTACTCAAAGTGTCTCTATATACATCACTTTTGGAGCTTTCATTTCTTTCTCCACAACACTTTGGAGTTTTTGTTTGTTTTTGTTTTTCTTTTGTTATTATTGTTTTTTCATGACAGGGTTTATCTATGTAATAGCCCCGGCTGTCCTGGAACTCACTCTGTAGACCAGGCTGACCTCGAACTCACAGCGATCAGCCTGTCTCTGCCTCCTGAGTGCTGGGATTAAAGGCATGTGCCACCATTGTTTGGCCAGAAAGAGTTTTTAAAAGGTAAAGTTTTAACTTCGGAAATGGGTTTACATAATAGGAAACTGATAAGTAACTTGGCCGTTAGACACTTACCATGCTGTTATTTGATTATTTATGTGGTAGAATACTGTTAGTCAATTTTCATTCCTTAATAAGAATACCTGAGAAAATCCATTTAAAAAGAAGAAATATCTATTTTGATTCATAGTTTTTTAAGCTTTATTTTATTTTTAATTATGCGTACATGTGGATCTGTGTGTGAATATGTGCGTGAGTGTAGGTGCCCACAGAAGCTGGAGTCCCTGGAATTGCAATTACAGGTGAATGTGAGCTGCCCAATGTGGCTGGGAACCGAACTCACTTCTACTGCAAGAGTAGTTTGTACTCTTAAATGCTGAGTTGTCTCCAGCTCCTGGCTCAGCTGGGAAGGTTTCGGTCTGTGGTCAGTTGGCTCTTTTGCTTTGGACAGGGAAGTCATGAGAGGACTTGCCTACGGTGGCATGCATGCCCGGATCCTAATCTTCAGTGACCTCTTTCCACTCCCCACGTCCTGAAGGCTCAACCATCCTCCAGCAGGGCCACGAGCTGCTCACCAAGTCTTTAGCATATAAGCCTTTGGGACCGTTTAAGATCCAAAATCATAACAAATAATGGAAGCCTTTTCTGTTTTTAATCAAGTTCTTTAATAAAACATAATTTTAAATGTTTTTGCTATGGAAAGTAAATTCTACCTTGCTGGAAAGAGAAAGTTCCTCAAAACCGTCAACAGTTTATTCACATATTAGAACGGGTCAGCCAGTGAAAGTCCTAAAGGAAGACAAAAAAGGACAACATTCAGTCAGAAGAAATACCTGTATTTGACTCACTGTAATTGCTTTATGACATAGAACTAGACAATCATGGTAAAATAAGGTTTGTGTTTGGTCTAGTCAAAAGGAGCTAAAAATTAGTGAAACCAGCTGTCTTACACAAAGCAGCCTAGGAAACTTACTTTTCCCGAGTCTTCTTCCACGAACCGTATTCAGAACACAGAAAAGCAGAGTTAGGAAGAAACAGACATTTACTTGGCAGAGAAGGGGCAAGACCACGATCTCAGGCCTGAGATGCACAAACAGGAAGAACTATGGAGCTTCTGGCAGTGTCCTCCCCACTTGGCCAAGACACGGGTTACCACAAAGCAGTTAGTTGTCCTAACCTGTGGGTCGCGGCTCCTTTGGCAAACATCTTCCTCCAGAAATATTTACATTATGATACATATCAGTAGCAAAATTACAGTTATGAAGTAGCAATAAAAAAATGCATGGTTGGGGGTCAGCACAATATGAGAAACTGGATTAAAGGGTCACAACATTAGGAAGGTTGAGAACCACTGCCACAGAGAGAGATTCCTACGCAAAGCAGGAAGCAGCCAGCCTGCATTGTGAGTCAAGGGCAAATGGTGCTAGACAAACATTCAGTTAAAAGAGAAAATCTTGGAAATGAAAACATGTCAGGATTCCACTGGAATGAAGGTTAAAAATATATTAAAGTGTTTAATATAAAAATAATCCTACAGAATTACTAATGGGGATGATAATTAATACTTCTCCAGAAATACCCAAATGATGTCCAGAGGAAAATTGCAGAACAGACAGATTTAAAGCAGATCCTTAAAAGAATTAGAAAGATTCCTGCCAATGCCACCTGCCTGCTTCCTCAGCTTAACCTATGTGTGTTCATCTGCCTAGGCAGCAGGCTCTATTCTTGGAATCCTTTCTTTCTGCTCTAAGGTAAATTCTCAAGTCTCTGATGTCTATTTTCACACAAACAGAATTTTAGCAGAATTCTATATATCTGACAGTTTCCAAGCTAGTTGCTGTGTATTTTATTGATTGTTCAGGTATCTGACCATTTGTGCCCCATCTTACGCAAAGAAGAAAGAGACTGGCAGCAGATCTTTGTCTGAGAACCAAGAGAGGGACACTAGCTATGCGTCACTATGCGCCAGAGGTCACGTAACTGAGCGGAATGCAACCACGCAGATCCACGATTACAGGCTCATATACGCTGTGCTCACTGCATTTTCTTTTATGAGCCTGTTCCTCTTGACATAGAGCCCCTGTCTGTCTTTTCACCTCCTCTTTGCTAACTCGTTCTGACCTCAGTTTAAGCACTGCCTCCAACGAGCTTTGCTTAGCACCAATGTATTTCTTCACTTAGACTTGCTTAGAACTGCAAGTCAATTCCTTCCCGTCATGTCCTTTGCTCTGTCGTGTTTTGCTTACTTGTTACTCCAACAATCACACATAACAATATCTCAACAAATACTTGTTGAACAAGCAAATGAAACTTCCAAATTCAGAAAGAAACTTAAAAAGACTTCTGAATCCCAGAGTGTATGCCTCTCAGGGAAGAATCAGGAGAGAACATGTGTTTCTTGCTTTCTGCTCAGTAGCTGAACTTGCCTGGGCTTTCCGTGTGCTCTGTGGTTCAATCATGATGTTGATAAGACAGGGTTTACTTGTGTCTTCCAGTGCCTGCTTCAGAGAGTTTTGGAGTTCTTCTGGTGTTTGTACAAAATACCCTTTGCCTCCAAATGCAGTCATGACCTGCTCATAATGCGCGTTTGGCAAGAGACACATCGGAGGGACACTGAAAAGCAAGTTATAAGTCAATAAAATTTAAATCTTTCAGCTTCTAGAAAAAGTAATGTCCCCAAATTATCTGTGAAAAACATAAGCTGACCCACGGGCATACTTCTTTCCAGAACAGCTCTCTATAACAGCAATATGCAGAACACATGTGATTCCTTGTCCCTCCTTTATTCCATCTCATATTTCCATGCCCCCTAGGTGAGCTAGCCAAACTCCAGGCCTTCGTTGCTAGAAGAACCTGCAGCTTTCTCTACCAGTGGCGGCATTCTTAAAAGTTACTGGCTGGTTGTTGTAGGGTTTTGGGTTAGGTTTTTTTTTTTTTTTCTCCTTTGTTCATTTGCTTTTGAGACAGAATCATATAACCTTGACTGGCCTGGAATTTGTTGTATAAACCAGACTGTCTTAAACTTTCAGAGATCTGCCCATTGCTGCCTCCTGAGTATTGGGATTAAAGGCGTGTGTCACCATGCCTGGTTCCCCACCCCCTTTTTATTCTCGGATGGATTTTTTTTAAGCCTAGTTCTTTTTCCCTTTAGAGCAAAACAACAACAACAAAAACAGCAAACTAAACAAAAACAAAAGGCAATCAATTAAGCATTGGATCCAAGCCTAACGAAGACACCCAACAATCCCTTTGACAGCACTTTAAATGTCACCTGCATTCTAATTATTGGATGTGGAATATACCCCTCAATCTGAAGTCTTCAACTTTGAAGCCATCAACTATCTCAACTTTTTGAAGATTCTCATCTTTGGTTCTTGTTGATACTGAATTTTCAATAGTTCAATGTGATTCAGGTAAATATGCATTTCTCAAAGCACGTACAAAGTCTCCTGGTGCAGGCTGTGATGTGTGTGGTCATATAGGTATCAGGGTGCTAACTGGCAATGTCACAGAGCAGAGCAGTCTGGCCCATGTCACTTGTCCTCTGCTACAGCTGGCTGATCACTGCACAGAACCAGCAGAGGGCATGGTGCAGAGGCAGCGCCATCAGAGCTGAGATGCCAGTACATAAAACTGCACCTTCCTCTTTATTTTTGCTTGTTTTGAGACAGGACCTTGCTGTGTGGCAGAGTCTGGTCTGGAACTCAGTATGTAGCCCATGCTGGTAACCTCACTCTAAATCCTCTTGCCTCAGCCTCCCAAGGGCTTGAATTACAGTTTCCCCCTACTTTCCACTGAGTCTTTTTTGTGTATGACGGAGTCTTGATATGTCTTGGACCCATCAGCTCAATGATCTCCTCTTCCCATCTCCAGATAGACTGGTGAACAACAAGTGTGCGTCACTACACCTGGCTCCCTGTGCTTTTTATTGTTTATATAGCAATGTCCAGTAGAACTTTCTATAATGATAAAAATTCTTTACATACAGTATGGTGGTCACATCACTGCCTGTTACTATGGGTAATTGAAATGTAACTAAACTGAGAAATTGAATTTTTAATATTTATTTACTTACTTTGAGACAGGGTTTCTCTGTGTAGTCCTGGATGTCCCAGAACTCACTCTCAAACTCAGAGATCTGCCTCCCTCTGCTTGTCAAGTGCTGGGCTTATTGTGTGTGCCACCATGCATAGCAACAAAATATTTTTATTTTATAAGTATGGGTGTTTTGCTGGCATGTACGTCTATGTACCTACCACATGTGTGCAGTGCCCAAGGAAGCCAAGAGGTTTTACCAACTGTCAACAACTTCTCAGTCAAAGAGGAAAGGGTACTGATTTTTTCTTTTAATGAGACAAGGTTTTATGTAACTCAAACTGACCTAGACTTGCTATATAGTCAAGGATGTCCTTGAACTGCTGATCTTCTTGTATCTTCCTTCTGACTGATAGGTGTGCTCCAGCATACCCTACTGGTATGAAATACTGGGGGTCAAACTTAGGGCTTTGTGAATAAGAAGCAAGTATTCTACCAACTGAAGCCTAGAAACTGAACTTGACACTTTATTTTTAACGAAGTTTACGTAGTAACATGTGATCCAGAGCTTCTTCACCAGATAGCACAGTCTATACTATCAACTAGAAGGAAGCTAAAAGGCATGGCGTGGTGGTTTGAATGAGAATGGCCCCCACAGGCTCCTACATTTGAATATGTGGTCCTCAGTGGAATTATTTGGGAAGGATTATGAGGTGTGGCCTTATTGGAGGAGGTGGTTTCAAAAGCCTATGCTATTCCCAATGTGTCCTCTGTGTCCTGCTTGTGGATCAAGATGTGAGTTCCCAGCTGCTGCTCCAGGGCCACGCCTCCACTCCACCATCATTAACTTAACCCTCTAAACCTGTAAGCCTAATTAAACTTTTTTTTTAAAAAAACAAGTTGCTTTGGTTGTGGTGTTTTATCACAGAAAATGAAAAGTAACTAGTACAAATAGCTATGGAAAAACAACAGTGTAATGAAAACACTGGCACTCTACTCTCTGAACGTCTCAGAAAGTTTTGTCAATGCCCACGGCAGTTCTGACAGTCTTAGCTTGACTCTTCCATCAGATGGTAAAGGCTTAGCTTTGTGGTAAAAGTAAGGAAGATCTTTAAATCACAAATAGTATGCCAACTATTTGTGATGGCTAACCTTGGCTGTCAGCTTGACTGCATCGACTAACACCCAACCATCTGGGCATGACTGTGAGGGATTTTTCTTGACTGGATCATTTGAGGTCAGAAGACCCACTCTACATGCGAGCCACACCTCATGGCAGTCCGGATGAAAGGGCATGAAAGAAAAAAGCTTGCTTTTTGTTCACTTGCCCTCAGCTTTGGTGGGATGTTCCTCTATTCTGCTGCCAGGTGTTCCTTCACTGACTACTTTCTCAGGGTTCCAGTGAATACTACAGATAAGCTAAGACATCAGATTCGTGGACTAAACAGCTACTGGACTCTTGGCCATCCATTGGAAAGCAGCCATGGTTGGGTGGCCAGACCACAGTCTGTGAACCACTAATACATTCCCTTTTCATATATGCAGATTCACATCTACATTCATAAGTTCTGCTCCTTGAGAGAACCTTGACAAATACAGCATTAGCAGTTCTCCCTGGTGTAAATACCAGCACTGCTATTACCCTAGGGTAGACATCAGAAATCTTGACCTGAGTCTTCAGTGTCCCTGATTGTAAACAATCATAGACAGCTGTACAGAAAAGATCCAAGAAGAAGTGGCTTCTGCCACTTTAAAAAGGCTGACAAACTAACCAAGTTTATAGCATGTAGGCACATTCCAATACAGCAAACTTTTAAAAGACAGACTAAACACATGACACAACCTAACTGTGCATTTGTTGTGAGTTACTCACATTGTGGCAGCTTCTTGAAGATTTGACATTTTCCCCCAAGTGTCTGCATCAACTCCTTGGTAGATTCCATTATTGTTTACTACCAAGACTATAATTGGCAAGTTGTACCTAAAAGGGAAAGTAAACTATGAAGAGATCATTATTTCTAAAGCAATTCCTTTTTCTTAAAACTGAAATTTTTACTTAAAAGGAGACAATTTCAATAATTTTTTTTCAATAGGGAAAACCAAGCATTAATTATCCTAATAAAAATATAAAACCATTGATAGAAATGTTGCAGCTGTAGGATGTACTCAAGGCTGATAGTCTGCTTAGCTATGGATCTTAAATAACTAAACTTTTACAGGCAGCTACAAGAAAAACACCTTCTCCATTCCCTCCCTTCCTAGGCCTATTTCTACATGGTTCCTAGGAATACTGTCTGAAAAGTCCCATTATATTGTTGAAAGTGTCAATGACAACCAGCTCATGCTGGATGTTGTGAAAGACACATTGGCAATTAACACCCAATCTGCATCTCTAATGAAAACCAGCATGGCATGATCGGTACCAGAGACAAGTGTCCAAATGTCTCAAACAGTGCAGCAAAGATGAAAAGCCTAAAAAGGCTGAAGAAGAATGTGGGTTTGCTTTTATTCATTGTTGTATGATATTTTGATTGTGTTCTGACAAATAAAGTTTGCTTGACACCAGGGGGTAGGGTTAGCCACCATCTGACCAAAATTTACCACAAAGGTTTGAAGGACTGTAGAGAGAGGAGACAGGAAGTAGTAAGGTGGGGCAGAGAGCAGATCTCGGCCCTTCCGGACAGAAAAACTGAGGAGGTAGAAAGCAACTGGCAGTTGCTCCCTGTTCTTGATCTTTCAGGTTCTTACCCTAATATTTGACTCCCAGTTTTTTATTGGTTAAAATTAATTAGATTAATGCTTCATCATATTTTTCCCTGAGGGTTTATGGTAACGACACAACTGAGTCACATGACCATGGAAGCCATTTGCTCTCTGCGCTGGAAAGGAATTACCACCCTCCAAAAGGCTCAATTCTTTTCACACATCATCTTTTTGACATATGTGGATTTTCAGTATAGACCTCTAATAGGCCAAACTTTCCCCTAAACTGCAATAATGCTGACTATGAAAAGCCTGTGAGAATTGAACATGTCTAGTGTATAATAACATTTTTCATTAGTGTATTTTTAAATTTTCTTTAGATTTATTTAGTTTATGTATGTGTGTATTTTGCTTACATATATACATGTGCCTGCCTGGTACCCTCAGAAGTCAGAGGTCAGAAGAGGGCTTTTTGGTCCCCTGGAACTGGAGTTACAGGTAGTTGTAAGCCTCTGTTGTGGGTATTAGGAATCAAACTTAGGACTTCTGTAAGAGCAACAAGTGTTCCTAATCTCTGAGCCATCTCCAGACCCACAGAAGTATATTCTTTTTTCTTTGTTTTGGTTTGTTGTTGTTTTGTTTTTAGTTTTTTTTTCTGCTTTTTGTTTTGTTTTGGTGTTTTTTTTGAGAAAGGGTTTCTCTGTACAGCCCTAGTTGTCCTGGAACTCACTCTATAGACCAGGTTGGCCCCAAACTCAAGAGAGATCCACCTGCCTCTGCCTCCTGTGTGCTGGGATTAAAGGTGTGCGCCACCACTGCCTATCTCAAGTGCACTCTTAGGTGAGATTATATAGTTTATAGAAAGGAAAAGCGACTCCTGTAGTCCAGGTTGACCCTGAACTTGCTAAGCAGCTGAGGATAACCTTGGCCTCCAGATCCTTCTGCTTACTCTGTCATCTCTATTCCCAGATGCTGGGATTAGTGGAGTGCATTGCCAAACCTGGTTTGATCTTGATAGTTTTTTATACCAAAGTATTGAAAGTCCCAAAACATGTTTCACAAAAAACCTCCACCCTAGTAGAACAGTCTTATAGTTTGAATACAGCTGGGGAAAGAGGTCGGAAGAGCCCTCATGCTGACGCAGTGGGAGTCTCTCCATGAAAGTTTATAACTAGGAACCTCAAAACATGATGCTGTCCGGGACTCTTGCTGTGAAGCAAGTGAGTATTGTACGTTTTCATATTATGAGAATGAAATGCTATGATTTATGGCTCTGTTTACCTGCAGATGGTTTCTACTTCCATGCCAGAAAACCCAAAGGCACTGTCGCCTTCCACACAGATGACCCGCTGCCGGGGACTTCTATCTTTAGCCACCAGAGCAGCTGCAATAGCAAATCCCAAACCGACTCCCATTGTTCCAAAGGTGCCAGCATCAAGCCTGTTGAGAATAAAGCTAAAATCAAACTCTTTAGCACATGTCATGCAGGGTGGAGGTGGCACAAACCTTTCAATCTATATTTATATGGTTTATGAAAAAAGAAATAGACATTTTTCTTTAATATTAAATTTTTGGAATATAAGGAAGCAAGTTGTCAAGGATAAGCGGGATGAAAGGAAAATGCCACACATGATTGCTTGGATGAAGGTAAAAAACTGAGTACACAGGCCGGGCGGTGGTGGCGCACGCCTTTAATCCCAGCACTCGGGAGGCAGAGGCAGGCGGATCTCTGTGAGTTCCAGACCAGTCTGGTCTACTGACCTAGTTCCAGGACAGGCTACAAAGCCACAGAGAAACCCTGTCTCAAAAACAAACAAAAAAAAAAACCCAAAAAAACAAAAACAAAAAAAAAAACTGAGTACACAAACCATCACATTATACCAAGAATTATGAACCACAAAAACTATAAAACTATAAAATCTCACCTAAGAGTACACTTGAGCTGAGCAGTGGAGGCACACACATTTAATCCCAGCATTCAGGAAGCAGAGGCAGGTGGTTCTCTCTTGGATTTGAGGCCAGCCTGGTCCTGGCATGTACAATTCTAAAATATTTTTCTTAATCAGCAGTACTGTGGTTTCAAATTAAACACACTGTCATTTTTTCTTGGAGTCTTACCTATGGCGAGGAAGGTAGTTCTGAAGCACGGTACGGCCAATGTCCATAGTATTAGCTCCCTCACTTACTATAAAACAGTCTCTGGGTAACTGTTCTTGAACATGGGAAAATACTGTGTAGTAATTCATAGGGAGGGATCTTTTGGAAGCTAATTCCTAAAAACAGAGGAAGGTATACACTGAGTTACATTGGGACATGATGATAATCACAGTGTCAGCAAGCTATTACCAAAGTCATTTTGGAACAGTTCAATACCACCAGTCAGCTACAAGATTCCCAAATGGCTGTACACTGGCTACTCTTTGACTGCGAACAATCCAGAACCATGCTAAGAACAATGTGCCCTACAGTCCCAGTTGGGACACAATACATAAGCTAGGGAATCCCCTCGACCTGGTGAGTGGATGAACCTTTCCTATTAAACACCTGGAGAAGTCTTAGAGTAAAGATGGCAACACTGGGCTAAACAAACAGAACGGGTCATACCTGTGCACTCTTAGAAAAACATTGTCTTAACTATTTTTCAGAACAGTTTTATCTGAAGTATGGTCCTAAATTTAAAACTAAAAGTTAGGATTACAGAAGATGACCTGAAAATCTGGTTCTTCTCTCTCACAGTGTAGAGGAGCTATGTTACATCTATTTTAAAAGCCCCAGTGCTGAGAGGAGCCACTGGTGTTTCATCAGTTAACAGTCCTGTCCCGGCACTCCAGCCTCACTGGTGCTACCCTGCTCTGCTGGAGGTTACATTCCCCCGTGCACGCCCCTAGCGCTGACAAGCTGACAAAGGAGCAAACCCTAAGGGGCTCCTAGGGAAAGACGCATTACTTACAACAATGGAGAAACTAGAACTTAGACTGGTTCTTGGCAGTAGAAATAGTCACTGACTAAGATTCCCCTGCATGGTGGAGTCAGCCACATCAGTTCTGCTAGGACGTTTGGTTCAAAGTACAAACTTAATCTATGATGACAGCTACATTAGGAAACACAAGTGCCGAACTTAAACTGCAGATTTGCAAATGTATCGTTCTACCAGGAGGAAATCCTAGGGCGGGCTGGAGAGACTGCTCAGTGGTCAAGGGCATTTGTTGCTCTTATGGAGGACCCAGGTTGGGCTCCTGTACATACATGGTAGTTCACAACTATCCATAACCAGTTCCAGCTCACCTCCAAGGGTTCTAGACACACATGGTACACATATATGCAAGCTCACACAAAATGGAATCAACAACTTAAAAAGAAGAAACCCTAATGTATACTGAACACTGCACCCAGCTGAACCAAGACACCCAAATTCACAAAACAGTAAAAGAAAACCTACCCCATCTGACAATCAAAGAGAAAGTGCTGTATTTACAATGACTTTGAATAGAAAACAGCAACACTGCTGAAGAGACCCACTGTAGTACTCGCTGGGAAGGATTAGTGGTGACCTCAAAATTCAAGACAGTCTCCAAACCTTCACTATGAGGCAAAGCCACAAGGGCAGATGTGAAAGTCACAAGAGTTTCCGACAGTGACTTGAAAGATAAATGGCAGTGTGTGAGGAAGGGGTGGACTGAACACTCACGCACCTTGAAGGAAAGATAATCTTAAGGGCAGATAACTAAGTCCTAACATGCCCTTAGGACTTAAGGGACATTCTTACATCAATCCTTAAATGTCATAGGATTTAATTATGATATTATACACCAAACTCAAACTGACAGCTTTCCAGGGTCAGATTGCTTTTCTTCTCATAGCTCACAGTGACTCAAGAACCATACCCTTTGGATGCTCAATTATGCAAGGAGCTTAAGGCCCTTTCAAGGTAAAGTAAAAGCATGCACATGGGCATGCATATGCTTTTTCTTAACTATTTACAAGGTTGAAACTTTACTATCCACCCCTTCCCCCACACACAGGGTTTCTCTATAGACCAGGCTGGCTATGAACTCTGAGATCTGCCTGCCTCTGCCTCCCCAGTGCTGGGATTAAAGGCATGTGCCGCCATGCCAGCTTCACTACCATTTTCTATTAGGCTCTTATCTGACTTTCTGGTTTGTGGACCTTTTGAGAGCTGTGCCCCAGTAGCACCCCTTTTGATCCCCAAGCTTACACAATGCAGTACTTCCTAGGACTGTCTATGCCCCATTATGAGAGGCCAAAGCAACTCATCAACCTGAAGGGCTCTTGAAACACAACTGGTCCCACATTACCTTGGATGCAGCTTCATTGGTCCTCATTTTTTCCCTCAGAGTCTCCCACCATTTGCTGTCTATGGGGTACTGCCATGGGGTTTTATCAAACTGTTCCAAAAGCTAAAAACAAACAAACAAACTTCCTTAAAGTAGGCAATGGCACACTGCTCTGCCCTTCACATTGCTCACACTTGCTTCTCTTCCTGCAGAGCAACTGATGGCAGACCAGTGGGTGGCAGGGTGAGCCACACACACAGACCACATGCTGCAGAATGACTGCACATGTGACACGGACTGCATCTGCATCTCAAATGCTGTGTACTCAAGATAACGAATATCATACAAAATCGAGCGATAAATGTGACCATATTTTACCTCCGGCCACAATGAAATATATAGATTACATATAAATAGAAAGTTAGACAAGTCCTTGATTATAGTTTAAAGAGTAAAAATTCCTTTACTACCTAAAAATATACTGTTATACTTCCACTGTGTAAGTCAAGTTAAACTAATGCTGTATTGTAATTTTCTCAGAAAGTTGAATTCTAACTACTGAATTCTGGTTTGAATATTCAAACCTTAAATTTTCATGACATCAAATTAGTGTTCTAAACGCTTAACTTCCACAAATATGAACAGTGTACATTGAGCTGAATTTACCAAGTTCCAAACTTACAGTTAAAGTTAGTTTCCCATCATGAACTTGCCACCAAGCCAATCAAGACTAACATTATCCAGAATTGACTGTCCACAGAGAACAGTCCACAGGAATTAAAATCCAGAGAAAGGAATTACCTGCTTAGAAACAGCATTTATGTCTCCTAGCAAAGTCACAGAAGGCCTTACATTATTACCCAATTCTTCGGCACAGATATCAATCTAAAAAAGAGAAAAACCTGAAGAACAAGCCATGTTTGGTCTTTTTTTGTTTTGAACAAATTGAGAAATTATTTTTTATTTTATGGTATGAGTGTTTTATCTGTATGTATGTCTGTATCACGTGTGCCTGGTGCCCAAAGAAGAGAGAAGAAAACATTAAATACTCTTTTTTTTTTAATTTTTTTAAATTTATTAAAGATTTCTGTCTCTTCCCCNAATCAGGGTTCTCTGCCCTGTGGGAAGTCCAAGGACCACCCTCCTCCATCCAGGTCTCGTAAGGTGAGCATCCAAACTGCCTAGGCTCCCACAAAGCCAATACGTGCAGTAGGATCAAAAACCCATTGCCATTGTTCTTGAGGTCTCAGTAGTCCTCATTGTCCACTATGTTCAGTGAGACCCGTTTTAACCCAGGCTTTGCATTAAATACTCTTGAACGGAGTTACAAATGGTTGTGGGCTGCCATGTGAGTGTCGGAAATTGAACCCTGAACCTCTGGAAGAGAAGCCAACTCTTAAAAACCTTTAAGAGAGACTATTGTGCCAGTGATGGGGTGCATGCCTTTAACCCCAGCACTTGGAAGGCAAAGGCAGGTGGATCTCTGAGTATGAAGCCAGCCTGGTCTACAGAGTGAGTTCCAGGACAGCCAGGACTAAACAGAGAAACTCTTGTTTCAAAAAAAAAAAAAAACAAAACAAAAAACAAAAAAAAAACCCCAGCAACAACAAAACAACAACAACAACAAAACCCATCCAAATAAAAACAACAACAACAACAACAACAACAAAAAAAACTTTAAGAAGGACAGAGAGGTGACTCAGAAGTTAAGACCTCTTCTAGAGGACCTCAATTTGAGTCCCAGAACTGGCTCCAGTTCCTGGGTATGTGGTGCCCTCTGCTGACCTCAGCGGGCACCAGGAGAGGTTGGAGTACTTTCCAGACATTCAGTTTAGGGGCAGGTGAGTTCAAGGCAGAGTCATCTAGAGGTTTCCAGAGGCAGTTTTAGCATCTAAAAGGACAATTCACCTCCTTACAAGGCCGAGGTGTCCCTCCAGTCTATCATCCTACTTAAGCCTCTCTGTCTTTAAATACACTCCAGCTGCAAGGAAGAGGCACATTATGCTTTTCAAATTGTTTCAGACTCGACTTTGAAAGCTTTTCTCCTTAAAATTAGCACAGGATATTTTGTAGGCTTGAAAAGGCAGCTGACTTTGGTACCTGTAATTACATCAGATAATTTGTAAAATCTATTTCTGTAAGAAAAAAGGTTCTTTACAAAAGAGGGTGAACAAAGAAGCACAGAGCTGATCAGAGTCATCCCCTGCCCCCATGCCCAGTACCTGAATAAACTTCACATTTGCCTGGTATCTTGGAGGCAATCCAAAATGTAATATCCAGTTCAGCCTCGCACCAAATAACACAATCACATCAGCAAACTGCAGAGCCCTGTTAAAAAAAATTAACAGCAAACAAACTAATGATTTTCCTAAAATATTTTCGAAGTCTAGATAATTTGGAACTTCTAGAGTAAATCTGATCTTTCTAATTGAGTTTTGAAAGATTGGGAAGATGGCTTAGTGGACAAAATGCTTGCTGCGCAAGCATGAGAACCTGATCTGGACCCTCGGCGCCCACATAAAGGGTGACTGCTATGGTGCTGTCCCCACCTGAGGGCTGGGGGTGGGGACAGGTGCAAGCCAGGTGCCTAGTCAAACTGGCAAGCTTCAGGCTCAGTTAGAGACCCTGTCTCAAAACTAAGGGGAAATGTGACTGAGAAGAAACCTAAGAAATCCTTGGTATCCTGCATGTATGCGCTCTACCCCCCAACACATAGAAAAACATAATCTGTCATTTTGTTTTGTTTTGAAGATGGGATATTGCTTTTTAAACTAAAGTTGGCCTCAAACTTAAATGCTGAGGTTACAGGCATGCACTATGCCTGGATAGCTTTTGGTTTGTAGGTTTTTTCTGGGGCTGAAACCAGGACCTCAAGCATGCTAGTCAAGCACCTTAGTGAGTCACACTCCAGCTCCCAGACCCTACATTCGCATCTCAATGCATTCTTCACACTGATTTCCAGGAGCAGATTCTCCTTGGTGATGGGATTAAAGACATGTGCCACCATGCCCAATTTATACAATGCAGGACTTCATGCCTGCTAGATAAGAACTCTCCCAATTGAGCTACATCTTCATTCTGGAATTGCTTTTGAAAATATACTATATGTATTTTCACCTAATATGCAAATAATTGAGACCAGGTTGTGCTTTCGCAAATTTTCAGTAACTTCATCATCTAAATTTGGGACTTTTGCTTTGTGAAAATTCCAAAGATTCTACCGATGGTATTGTAAGCACATCACTCTGTAGATAACAGAAGGCAGATATTATACTAGTGTGATGCCAACTGAAGAATTTTTACAGATATAGAAAAAGATGGAAATTGGATAAGAGTCCAAACAACTCCCAGGAAGTGATAGAACGGGCCTTTAATCCCAGCACTCAGGAGACAGAGGCAAAAGGATCTCTCTGAGTTTGAGACCAGTCTGGTCTACAGAGTAAGTTCCAGGACAGCCAGAACTATGAAGAGAAAACCTGTCTTAAAAACAAACAAACAAAAAAGAAACAAAGAGCCTGGAATGCCACACACCTGGATCTGGCTGCACCTACACAGTTTGGATGATTGTCAGGGACAACACCCTTCCCCATAGGGGTAGGCAAAAATGGCAAATTGCACTGCTCCACCAGCTTCCGGAGACTGTCCTCTGCACGGGAATAAGCGGCACCTACAGGAAATGCAAATCACCGGATGATCAGTCACAGTGCACACTGGGAACCTCCAATGAATCATGTGATCCTCTACTGTATAAACATCAGCTTTAAAGCTAAATGAAGAACTGCCTCTAAACAAACGCGTGTCTCCTGCTGCTCTCACCTTCCTGCTTTATGCTCAGGGTCTACCAAACTACCCACAATTCCCTGAATATAAATGGGCAGGGAAGACCTTTGCCCTCTATTACCAGTAAGCCTCCTCTGCAGTACACTGTATCTGGGTTTTGAGGGTTGCTACAATGCTGTGGTACATATCTGTTTTTACAACTGTGTGCTGCAGAAAAAAAAAAAAAAAAAAAAAAATGCCCTCAGAGACACTGAAAAAA